TGAGTTGAAAGATGACGACGACGTGGAGGTCATGTTCGATGTTCATGTCTCAAACTCAAGTCTATGTGGTATTGAAATTTTTGTTACATTTGAAACTTCTTCTTCTTCATACCCCAACCCACACTCACCTGAAATCTCACCCTCATCCTACCAAGCTTTCCCAAACACTGACCTAAAAATACCCACACATAATGACTACATCCCTTTTACCCAACTTCTAACTGGGTCTTCCACCAACATCAACGAAGAACTACCCATACATGAGAACGAAATTGTTGGTCTCCCAATTGAAGTCGTTGATCCTTTTAGTGAGGACGAAGATGAAGATGAAATTCTCAACCAACAACAAGATAATTCAGAGGACGAACAACTACATATCCCTATACATGCACCAAACTTCATGGACCGTACAACCCACAACAACATTTTCTTAACTTTGAAAGTCACATTCAACAACAAGACTCAGAGTATGGTCATGAGTTGGATAAAGAGTTTTTTGTTTATCCGGCAGGAGCTCTATTTCTTGGACAACGTTTCATAACAAAAGAACAAGTTCAAGATGCCATCAACCGCTTTCACATTGTCAATCACTGCACATACAAGGTGAAAATTTTAAACCAAAGTAGATATGTTGTTGAATGTGTTGATAACTAATGCAATTAGAGATGTCGAGCAATACTACACACAAGAGATAAATATTGGGATATTATGAAGCTTGAAGGGCATCATACATGCGTTCCACCATTAATCAGCCAAGGCCACAACAAGTTGAGATATAAAATAATTTCTCAAACAATTGGTCAAATAATTGATGTTGATTTGTCAACACCTCAGTGACGGATCTTGACTATTGATTTTGGAGGGACCAAATAATATATTATTAATAAATAATAAATAAATATAAAAGAAGAAAGAAGATGAAAGGGTGAAAAGTTAAAATTGTAGATATATACTTAAATATATTAAATGATCATTAAGTTTAAGGAGAACAAAATCATAAATTATATGAGAAGGAAGGACTGAGAGGATAAAATTGTAAATATACAAGTAAATATATTAAATTTTCATTAAGTTTGGGGGTACCAAAATCATAAATTACATGGGAGTTACAAAACTTTGGAGGGGGGCCACGACCCCCCTAAGCTCCCAAGAAGATCCATCATTGTCAATCTCCACAATCATAGCCCACATCTAATTAACAATGGGTTACACTATAACGTACATGAAGGCCTGACTGGCTAAACAAAAGGCAATGGAGACCATCTACGACAATTGAGAGGATTCGTATAAGAAGTTGCCTTGTTTCTTACAAGCCATGCAACAATTTGTTTCCAGATTTATCTACAAACTGCAGTCACAACCAGCTTACCAAGGTGAGGTCCTTTAACAAAATTCAAATAATTTTAAGCGTGTGTTTTGGACATTTAGACCATGCATAGATGGATTTGTTCACTGCAAGCCCATTGTTCAAGTGGACAGTATAGAATTACCTTGTTGGTTGCAGTAGCACAAGATGACTGCAATAACATCATTCACATTGCGTTTGCAGTGGTCAAAGGTGATACAAGTGATGCCTAATTTTTTTTTTTTTTAAAAACCTCCAAAGATATGTCACACCCCATCAAGGATTATGCCTCATATCAAATCGACATGAATCCATTAAAAGTGAATACATGAGAAATGGAAACGGATGAACAAAAAATAATTCAGTGCATGTCTATTGCATTAGACACATTGCACAGAATTTTATGAGACGTTTCAAAAATACCGCACTAAGGAAAGATGTTGTAAATATGAGTAATTACTTTGCTTCAAATTTGTTACAATTTATTTATTATTTAACTGTTGTTAATAGATATTTATATTAACTATGCTTTTTTAATATTGTTGTAGTATATGGGATGACTGAACCACGATTCTACTATTATTACAATATCTTGAGACAATGTGACATAAAAGCAGCTAATTGGTTGGATGAAATACTAAATGGGCACTTATATGGGATAATGGACGGCGTTGGGGCCACACGATGACCAACCTAGCAGAGTCTATCAATTCTGTTTTGAAAAAAAACAAGAAATCTACTCATTTGTTCCATGGTCAATGCAACATACACCCGCTGCACCAAATTTTTCATTGAAAGAGGGATACAGATAGATGTCAAGATCAATGCTTGTCATGTATACTCTAAAATTTTGGTCACAAATTTAGAGGAAACACAAACACAAGCGAACACGCATAGGGTCATAACTTTTGACAGATCTACCACAAAATTTGTAGTAGAAGAAACACACAACCAGCGTCAAGTTCGATCAGCAAGGAGGTTTGCAGTTCGCCTTGATGAGTTATGATGTGATTGTGGGAAATTCCAAAAATTTCATATGCCTTGTTCGCATGTCTTTATTGTATGCAAGCATGCACATCATGACTTCAACAAATACATTAATTCAGTCAACAAGTTTCAAAGGTATACGAAACAGAATTTGAGTTGCTGTGAAATGAACAATATTGGCCAACATACACAAAATCTACTTTGTGTGTAAATCCATAAATGAAAAGAACTTTAAAGGGCTGACTAAAATCAAGCCGTATAAGAACTGAGATGGATATTACAAAAAATCAAAGTACGATTAAAAATATTCATATTGTCATACCCTTGGTCATAGCAGAAGAACATGCTACAATGTTGCACGTGCATTTACTTTGCATAATTAGATTGTGTTAGTTAAGAAATGCCTAATGTATGAAACTTATGAGTTTTTCAATTAATAAAATTTCTTCTTTACTTGATTAATTTAGAGTAATTATTTTTTATTTATAGAAATAAAATTATAAAGTATTATCTATAAACATATAAATAAATTACTTTAAATATACATTAAATAATTACAAACAAAAAAATATATATCAAATTAAAATTAAAAAATAACTATTTATAAATTATATATATTATATAAATTATAATTATAAAGTTAAAAAAATTATAATTATAAAATTAATAAAGATATATAACTATTTTTAATGTTAAATAAATTATATTATATTATATATATATATATATATATATATATATATATATATGGGTCTCGATTATAAATAGTTACAGATCTCGTCGCTCAAACGATGGATTTCTCATTTGAGCGAGAGTTGAACACTAACTAAAGGTCCAACGCAGTTAGCCACATAATGTAACTTGGGTCACCACATATTTCAATCACTTATCGTTCGAGCAAGAATTTCATTGTTTTAGCGAAATAGAACTCGATAATACCCATTAGTTGCAGGTCTCCTCGCTCAAGCGATGGATTTTTCGCTTGAGCGAGACGAAGTTAGCCATATAATGTAATTTGAGTCACCACATATTTCAATCATTTCTCGCCCGAGTGAGAATTCCGTCGCTTGAGCGAAATAGAACTCGACAATACTCATTAGTTGCAGGTCTCCTCACTCAAATGATGGATTTCTAGCTTGAACAAGAGTTGATCTTACACGAAATAATTGATCATAATCTAAAATAATTGATTATTTTAAAACATAAACCGTAAATGGTGTTATATGGGTAAATAATGTTACAGAGGTACTATTTTGAGAAATATTTTTTGACATGATATTATTTATGAAAAAAAGTCTGTTGACTGCGAACAAGCAGCCACCCTTCTCTATTTTTATTTTTACTAGCATTTAACCCATCCTATGCAAGCGTATTAGTTTGATTTTAGAATCATAAATGTTTCTTATTTAATTTAAATTGTTTATAAAATTATTTGAATAATTGTTTAAAGTTTTTTAAAAATTTCAAATTATGTTAAATTTAAATAGCTTTGCAATTTTGAAATATCAAATGATAAAATCTATTTAACTACTTTACAACTATATTGTAAATTAATTAATTAATACGTAAAATTGATGACTGATTTAAAAGTGTAGAGTTGGATTAAGTTACTTAAATTAACATAATATAATATAAAATAACAAAATATTTCACAATAAAAATTATTTATTTAAATAAAAATATAAAGAAAATTTTGCATAGGAAGATTGGTATAGAAGAAAAGACACTACAAATTAAATGGTGAAGGCTTTCTAAATTTGTACTGAGTAGGAAACTTTTTTTTTTTTTTTTTTTTGAGAATGTAACACTTTTTTTCCATTAAATAGTTCTTAAATTTATATGCCATGGATTAAATGTAAATATAATTAAATACATTACATTGAATTTAATATAAATATAAATTTTACTGTAATTGTGAAATATTCCTAACAAAATTATTATTTTCCATGAAAATATTTATAGCAGAAAGGTGATATAAACGGAAAACTGTATAAAAAGAGTGGTATAAATGGAAATGCAGCGTATATTGAATGGTGAAAACTTCATAAAATTCCTGTGTGAATATGAACAATTCTTTTGGTAAAGAATATGACACTTGTCCAAACTTGCCATTAAATATTTCTTTATATATATACACTGTAGATCTAGATGCAAATGGATTCAAACACCATTTTTTAAGTAGAAAAAAGCTTCCTTTTCTTACTTTCCACTCCTCTAGAGAAAAAAAAACACTTAAAATTTCTTCAAATACGGGCAATAGGAGAAGAAATTTGGCGAAAAATTTATTACTCTATTATTTTCTGTCGTCAATGGAACGTGAGACAGGTATCTGCCACAATTTTCTTACAAAAAGTCTGGGCTGAGTGAAACACACAAATGTCGCTCTACGCATGAAAAAGACAACATGTATATAATTTTTATGAACATAATCATAATAATAATAATAATAATAATAATAATAATAATAATAATAATAATAATAATAATAATAATAATAATAATAATAATAATAATAATAATAATAAGATTGTGTACATCAGAAATCCTAAAACGCGTATCAAATATCCCTTCTAAGTTCTTACTATATAAGGACTAAACCCAAATCCTCCTTCCATCACACACATACAAAGTTCTAATTTTTCTTCTGTTATTGGTATATACCAAACAAATGGGTTCCTCCAGTTTATTGGGAATCATGGCCATACTTCTCATTGTGCTGTTTCCCATGGCTGCCAAAGGGGATAATAATATTACTGATTATTTCCTTGGTGCCTAACTCATCTTATTCCATTTTATTTCTTTATCTAATGCATTGAAAAATGCAACGCTGACTTTAACTGTGGATATGGATATGAAATTTTGCAGATAAGGTTTGTGAAGAAGTGGAATGTGGGAAAGGAAGCTGCGTAGTAAACACAAGTTACCCATTAAATTTCATCTGTGAATGCGAATCTGGCTGGAAGAGAACCCAAGATGAGGATGATAAATATGCCACTAGCTTTCTTCCATGTGTCATTCCTCAATGTAATTTTTTCTGTGTTATTACTTCCACTTTAAGTAGTTTAAAACTTCCATCCTCACTAATTTTATAAATGAAATTTGGTTACAATGAGTTCATATTCACAAGTGTTCAAATTTTTTTGGATAGTTGTTATCATCACTAAGGTAACCCCTAGAAACTATTTTAATGAAATTTGATTGAATCATCTGCAGGTAGCTTGAACTATGGTTGTCAACCAGCACCACCACCAGTTCCAGAGAAGAGTTTTCCGCACAACTTATCAGCTTTTAATCGTAAGTAAAACTACTCTACACGTTCATCAATCGTGATTTATAAAAGTTAAATTTTAACTATCAGTTCAGAAAAATGTTATGAATGAATTATCAGATGGCACCTTCCTTTTTTATGGCACAAGAATGAAATTTACGCAGATAATAATCGATTAAATTTCAGCTCCATCTAATAATAGGTTTGGCTATGGATTTTCTCTTTCTCTAATAATTTCCTATGCAAATTAAAAATATATGATAGCTTGCTATTGGGCGTATTGTGGGGAAGGAAAATGCACGAAGAACAGGACACATACACACAGATGTGAATGCAGCCCCAATTACTTTAATCTTCTCAACATCTCCGTTTTTCCTTGTTACAGTGAATGTAAGGATTCAAAACCATTTTTTTACATTGGTTTGGCAAAAAAGTATTGATTATAGAGAAAATTATTGTTGTATCCTTGTATTTTGAAGGTACTCTTGGATCTGATTGTTCAAAGCTTGGAATAAAAGTTGCAAATTCATCCTCTGGTAGTAGCAGTCAAGGTAGTCCAATCACCTATTTCTTCTATTTATCTTACAAATATCTAATTATTATTGTAAAGTTTGCAAGTGGTGTCACAAAACAGAGAAAACAGAGAAGTTTCTTTCTAGATATGTGAATTCTGAAGGTGTGTCTGTTTTGGTGTTTTGTCTCAGATAGATCAGCCTCAATGTTCGGAGGAAGGTTCCATTGGATGATTATGTTGTTGATGTCCACGGGTATGGTTATGTGGACCTAAGATTGAAAGGGATGATCAAAATTATTTGGTGGATAATTCATTTGCTTGTTGTTCATCAGTCATTGGCTTGTGATGACTTATTGTAATGCTGTTCTGTTTGAACATTCATAGATACTAGATGCATTTGTTTTATTGTATAATAAAGGGAGTGAGATTTTTAACTTTAGGGATTGTATAAACTCTAAATTCCACTGTTTGTGGAATATTTATACTATTACTGCAGTGTTATTATATTCTTGTATAATGAATTAATAATATATCTTATCCCATTTGCAGTTTAAAGTTTTTTTTTTTTTTTTCATATTGCTTGTGCTTAAACATTAACCCTTCCATCCTTTTGCTGCTTTGTAATTATTTTTGTGCTGATAAAATTTTCACATAACAATGAAATTAGCAAAAGTAAATACTAATTAATAAAATATTATGGTATATAATATATTTCAAAATTTGGATTCGGTTTATTAAAAGACGTGTATATATATATATATATATATATATATATATATATATATATATCATAAATTTGATTAAGAATTGAGGTTAATAGAATTTAATAATTATCTTTAATTTTTTTAATCCAAACTAACATGTTGTTTAAGAGCAGAATTGTAATCTTCAAAAATAGAACATACTAAGATTATTAATCCCAACAAATATGTAATATCAAATTAAATTAAATATTTGAAGAAATCAAAATAATTATAATTGATGATGGTGGTCAAATAATATATATATATATATATATATATATATATATATATATATTATTTTTTTAAATTGATGCCAAAAGTGTTATGCATAACATATTATTGTTAGATTACGTGTAGATAATTCTAATTCAATGTGATTATGAATTTTGATTTGAGTTTTTAAATAAATTTTATTTAAATTTGATCTAAAATGTATACCCAATCTATATATAATTTTAATTGAGATTCAATTATGAATTCAAACCCTACTTTTTTATAGTTTAGCTTGAATTTGATTTTGGGTCACTGTTCAATATTTATTAGGTTGGGAATGGTCTAACAAGAATGTATAAGGGTATACTCTGGATAAAATTCTAAATTATAACTTTAACACGGTTAAGAGTAACTAACTTTAGAAATAATATAAACCTATATAGAACCTCTAGAACTCAAATCAATTTTTAAACAAAGGAAATATTAATTTATATAATATAATAACAAAAATAATGTATAATAAAATCATTAAATAAATATTATACTTTTAATAAACATAAGTTCAACACATACAAATAATATAAATTTAATTGGTTTAATATATTTTTAATATAAAAATAAATAAATTATAAATATTTAAAAATAAAAGTGTATGTAACACAAATCTAAAAATCAACTTCATTGATGATTAAAAAATACAATAAAATTTAATTTAAAATAAAAGAATTCTTCATGAAAGAGAAATCATATCAATAATATAATAAACAATTAATCACAAGATAAGAGAATGAGAAAATTTCCTCCTGACATATAAAAAATTATAAAACACTTTGCCGTTTCACCTTGGTACTGAACACTTTGTCATCTCACCATTTTTTTTATGTTAAATTATTTTTATTTGTTATGTTAAATTATTTTTATTTGTTATGTTAAATTATTTTTATTTGTTACGTTAAAGTTATGTTTCTACAATCAATTATGCTGTAGATAATTTCTAATATATATCAAATTCTAGTTTATATAATAATTTAAATAAATCTTATTTTGGAATAATAATTTTTATCTTGGATTATATAATGTGAATAATAATTTATATATATATATATATATATATATATATCATTTTCAAATATTTAAAAAATATAATAAATCGAAACATGAATACTTTTTATAAATATATTTAGTAAAAAAAAGGAATAATGTATATACTTATAATATAAAACATAAAAATTTATTAATTTAAGAGAAATAAATATATATATAATTTATTAAGATAAAATTAATTAAACTAAAATATATTAAAATAAATTTAATAAATTATAAATTATTAAACTAAAATTTACCAAATTATTTTATTTTATATTTTTAATTGATTACTTTTTATTTCTTTTGAAAACATTAAACTTTCAAATAATCTACATAATATAAGAAATACAAATAAAACAAATCTATGAATAAAAATAAATATATAATATTACAAATCAAAATATTTAATTATTACAAAATTATATATTTTAAATATTAAATCGGTATTTACTAAGATTGAAATAAAAATATCAGCTCCTTAATAAATTATCACTTATAGGAATTTTTAAAAATATACCTATTATCTATATAAATATTTCTGATTTAAATTATTTTACTTTTTTTATTAAATAATTATTTAAATTAAAATAAAAATGAAATATAATCTGACTAAATTTAATTTTAATTTACTATAAAATTTAAAATAAATTAAACAATATTTTATGATTTTTATTATTATAAAATTATTAAATAATTTTAAAAAATATACAATATTTTTTAAAATAATTATTAAAAAACTTTACTCAAATAGGAAAATATATTGATTTTTCCAGTTGTTATTATACATTTAATTTCAAACTTATATATATAATATAAATTTATAATTAAACTTAATATTATATTTCAATAAATATAAATATATTATTAATAAAAAATATATTATAAAATAACCTTAAAAACATAATATTAATAAACAATGAACTTTATTTAAATATGTAATATTATATTTTAATATTATTTAGTTTGATTGTTTTTTTCTTTCAAATTTAAAATCTGAACAAAATTGTATTATTTAGAAAAAAAATGATCTGTTTTTATTTTTTTAATTTTTTTGTTGTCACAGGTTAATTTTTAAGAACTTTAGTTATTTGTGAGGTATATGAAATTTTAAGCAAGTTCCCAACCTCATTAATATATCCCATCTTAACTAACTCAAATAGATTAAAATTTGAATATACAATTTACTATTATTACCAATTTAATTTAATTTAAAATATAAAATTCATATAATTTTTATGTGCTTTATTTAGTGAAGAAAATAATAGCAATAAAATAATTTTTATATTTTTATTACTTAAAATATATTTATTCAGGGAGAAATTTGAAAACTTACATTACACAAATCTTTATTACATGAAAACATATTAATAATAATTTTTAGGGAGAAAAATATTTTTTTGGGCCTTGTTTATTCCATACCAAGATTATTTTTTATTCAGTTTGTTTCCTTTATCAGATGATGATTAGTATTAATATTGATTTATGATTACAAACTGGGAGGTTTCAGCGTAACATCTGAGTTTGTTTTTGGCCATTGATATTTTATTCCTTTTTTCTTCCTCTCACACACTCTCTCTTCTCTTTCTCTCCCAAAACTAATCAGCAATGTCTGGGGAATCAGCCAGCGCAATTCCAAGGGGTCAAGTGAGATTCAAACTCTATCATCATCCTTTCTATTCGTTCAGAGGGAACCACTTTCTGACCTTTTCAATTTTCGTTTTCTTCTTGATTAGGTTGATCTCTTAGACTTCATAGACTGGTCTGGAGTTGAATGTCTCAATCAAAGTGCCACCCACTCTCTCTCCAATGCTATTAAACAGGTTTTATAGGTTTCCTTTATCTATTTTCTCCCCCTTTCCATTATCTATGTATATTATTTTTAATTTTATTTACTTGTATTTTTTATGCAAGTTTTCTGTTTTTTAGAAAGGGTTCTTGTTAGTAAAAAGAAGAGTTCTGAACTATTGTGTTATCTTACTGTGTTTGATATTGAATAGGGTTATAGAGAAGATGAGGGTTTGCATCTGGAGAGTGATGCAGATGAACAACTTTTGCTCTATATTCCTTTCACACAAGTTGTTAAACTCTATTCCATTGTTATCAAAGGTCCTGAAGATGAAGGTAACATGTTCATAGACTTCAAACTATGTCATTTATTGAATTGGAGAGATAAACCCTAAAACTTTTTCTCAAATAAGAAGACCCTGAAATATGTTTTCCTCTCATAGAAGTTGTTCCCTAATAAAGTAAAAGTATCATTGCTGTCGGTGCTTGATAAATTAGGTTTAGTGCATTCATGCTACCTGAGATATTAAATATTAGACAATAAGATGTCTTTATATATCTGTCCTTCTGTTAGGGGACTTGCAGTCTATTTTCTGAATTGAGAGAGGCTAGAGATAATTATTCAGCTTTTATATATATATATATATATATATATATATATATATATATATATATATATATATATATATATCATCTTTACTGATTTGCTAGTACACATTTTTGTTATGTTGTCGAGGTTGTAATTGGACTGCGTTGTTGTCTTTTAGGTCCCAAGACAGTGAAACTCTTCTCTAACAAGGAGCATATGGGATTTAGGTATAGTTTTGGCAAATAATTTTGTGTTATAGTATTTTTGTCATGTGATTCGATTAGTTGATGATTGTTTGTTAATGACAGTAATGTCAATGATTTTCCTCCAAGTGATGTGGCAAATTTGTCTGAAGAAAACCTTAAGGTACTTTTATTTCTAAGTTGATGATGTTTTTCCTGATGCAATTTGAAGATTTTCCCACACGAGTATGGATAATTAACATACAAACTATTCCAATTTTCTCTGACAGGGGAAGCCAGTACTTCTAAAGTACGTCAAATTCCAAAATGTTCGCAGGTATGCTATTTTTTTGGATTCTCTGTAGGCCGCCTCTTGTTTAATATCATCTAATTGATGGTAATAGCTGCTAATTTATATTAATTACTTGATCAGCTTAACAATATTTATTGAGGACAACCAAACAGGTTCAGAGGTCACAAAAGTTCAGAAGATTGTGCTGCATGGTTCAACGTAAGTTATGAGTTTTAAACCATTTGTCAAGCTCGAGTACCATCCTTTCTCATCTACAAACTTGAATTTCCTCTGTTACCAGTACAGAACAATCAAATTCCTTACTACTTGTTTTATTTGCTTGTTCCCCTAATTGAATTAGGGTTTCACTTTTTATTCATTTCACATCGAACTATTATATTTAGCGTTATTGTTAATTGGTCTTTAACAAAAGAAATAATAAGAGCTGCTCTGGATTCAGATATTCATTTACTTTTGGGTGCAAGTTTCTTATGTAACAAATTACTTTGTGTCATGGTGTGTTGGAAGCATCTGTCATTTTGGAATCGACACTTAATTGACTTGAATGTGGATTATACCTTTTTTCCTCAGGGAAAGAAAAAAGGGGGTTGGGGTGTGTGTGTGTGGAAAAACTATGAATGAAACTGGCTCATTTGTGCTAATTTTCTATTTTGCAATCTTATCAACTGAAGGGTTTGTATTCTGGCTATATTAAAGTATTGGTGCATGAATTTTCTGATATTTTACTTTCAATGCAGCGTTGAAACAACGGACATGAAGGGTTTGAAGAAGATTGAGGATCATTAACCCCCTGAAACAGGAGATTCAAGTTTTTTCCCAATTTTCCCTTGGAAATTTTGATTGGAAATGTTGTGTTAACTTCGTGAATGATGGTTTATGACTTCTAATGTTTATCTCATTTCAAATAAAACTGATGACAATATATCTACATGATTGTGACAATTTGTAATGGGAAGGGACATTTCAATCAGCATGGTTATTTCTTATGTCTTGAAACATGTAAATTTCGTTGAGGTTAGAATTGCCTTGAATGACTGAATCTGGCAGGAGCTAGACTGCGTTAATGGTGTCCATCCTAATCAGTCATTTAAATCGGAACCCCAACCTCCACCAAATAGTATCTTGCCAGTGTTTGCTGTTCACCCTTTCACCATTATTCTATGTTAAAATTACTTAAAATAGCGGAAGAGTTCTGAACAGTAGTTGGGTACTATGGCCTATAATCAATATTAGGACTTTATCCCAGCCTGTGTTTCATTTTGCAATATCAGTTTTGAATGAGTATTTTTCTAAGAACTTGTCGCCAAATTTGTGCTGTCACTATTTTTCTAAGAACTTATCGCTAAATTTGTGCTGTTATCTATGTCAATACAATAATACATCGACAGTGTTGCTTGTATCTATGCTCTTCTAAACTTAATTTAATATTTAAAGAGTAAGATTAATCATTCAAAACTTCATAACTTCGTAGGCAGAAGATATATTTTCAAAAGCTTGCATTTTTCAAATTCACATAATTTTGCAAGCTTACGTAAGTTATGAAGTCATTTGCTACTGAACTATTATTTATTAAAATTTCACCAAGTTGAATGCCAAACTAATATATTTTCATACTTGGACCTTTTACTCTTCACCAAAGAGCGTTTTTAAGGAGAATTTTCGTTTTCGAATATTAAACAATTGATGTTTTTCTATTTAAATTGTTTTTCTTAAAAAAATTATTTTTGATTTGAATTATATTATAAAGTGTAATAGGTTATATTAATATACTAATAAAAATAATGTACTTGTTTTTTATTTTATTGTATATATTGGAATAATCATTGTTATCACCTTAAAGAGGTATTAAAAAGGTATATCTATTAATATTATCTTAAAGAGGTTGGTTGCTATGATTGAAAGCGTTTTTTTTTTGTGTGTGTAATTTTATTGAAGAGTATATTTAAAAGAAGCAAGAAGTTAATGATTATTTAGCAGATTTTTGAACTATTTAAAAAATCTCCTATAAAGTTCTCATCATTTTTTAAATTCTTTGAATTTGATAGAAAGTCAAACCATTTTAATGTATGATAATTCAGAATCGCTTGTAAATTCTTCATCTAAGCATAACTGGTTAAAAGATACCTAATTTTAAAAATATACCATAGAAAATTTTCGTCTTTTTCACCAAGGTGGGTTAAAAAAATTTTAATTTTATTAAAATAGGTCAAAATTTTACCAAAAAAATTAAATCCTGTCACGTTACACAATTTTAAATTAAAAAAATAGTGTAACGTTAAATGATATAAAAAAACTAAAATTATGTTTTCTGTAACATATTTAACGTAATTATTTTTATAAAACTAAAATTAATACCATTTTAGTTATATTCATACATAACTAATGTAGTATTAGGTAGTACAATTTTTGTTTTATTTTTTTAAATAATTAAATTAATTTTATTAAATAAATATATTATTTTAAAAATTAATAATTTATTTATTATTATATATTTATACTATAAAATATTACATTAATAAATTTAAATTATATTATATTATTTATTTCAAAATTAATAATAAATATTATTTAGATAAATATATTATTTAAAAAATTAATATAAAATAAATAATTAATATAATATTTTAAATACATATATCATTTAAAATATATATTATTTAATTTTATAATAATAATAATAATAATAATAATATTGTATATATATATATATTACTTTTATTATTTATACACTACTTATACAAAGTTATATAAAATAATAATTAATATAAATAAATAAATAATTAATATAATACTTTATAACTTCTAAAAAATATATAAAAATATATTTTTATAAAAAATAAATAAATTATAAATTTTTAAATAATATATTTATCTCAAAAACTTAATTTAATTATAATTTTTAAATAATATATTTATCTCAAAAACTTAATTTAATTATAAAAGCTATAAAAATATATATTATTAGTTTTAAAATAAATAATATAATATAATTTAAATTTATTAGTTTAATATTTGATGATATAAATATATAATAATAAATAAATTATTAATTTTTAAATAATATATTTATTTAATAAAATTAATTTAATTATTTAAAAAATTAAAACCAAAATTGTACTAGTACGATTTTAGTTATATTCATATATAACTAAAGTCGTAACACGTAGTATGAATTTAGTTTTATAAAAAAGAAAAAAAAATACGTTTGAACTAGAAACCTGACTTTTTTTTCTGCCAATTTTCTTATAAAAAATTGTTTAAATTTATAGAAAATTTTATTTTGTGTAACTTTTACAAAAATTTTGTAAAAATATTCCTATAAAAAATGAAAATTTTTAGTAATGAAATATGTTATAAAAAATATGATTTTGTTTTATTTTTTTCTTTTATCACATTTTTATTTTACGTTACCCGATTTCTTTATTTAAAACGGTGTAACATATTTTAATAAATTTTAAAAAATTTGATCCATTTTAATAAAATTGAAATTTTTTTAACCTGGTGAAAAAAAAAGCCAAAGTTTTCATACGTTCAAGTAAATATTTTTATGCTTTTATCTAAAAAATGATATTAGCAAATACCTGATAATATAACTTTTTTTACTAAATAATCCTTTAGAAAATTAATTTGAAGAACAATAGCTCAAATAATAAATAAGTAAATATAGCTTTTTTTCAATAGAAATTAGAGTGTAAAGGCATAAATAATATTAATGGTTACATTTTTTATATTTTAAATTAATGTCACAAAGAAACTATAAGATCCCATCAGAGATTATTTTTATTTGAGTTTTATTTTATTTTACTTTTTGTAAAAAATTATCACCAATTTTAGTTTCTAAAAAATTGTTTTTAGTTTTAAAACTATTTTCTTTTCTTCTAATTTTTAGTTTCAAATCAATTTAAAGGAAGGTTATATAGTAGTGACAACGATTACAATATTATTAGTGACAACATCTAGAAATTTTGATGTTTGCTGATACTTAAAATTTCAGGCTTGTCTGTGTCACTTGCTTGGCTTGAAGGAAATAAAGAGTGAAGTGAATTGTTTTTCGAGCTAATCCATGTCCCACCGTAGCAATTACATCACATAAAATTCGATTCAATTTGGGATGAACATAAAGAGAAAGTGAAATATAACTGGAAAAATCTGGGTGAGGCTTGTTGCAGAACTGGTATCTAGCTATGCTTTAATGGAGTTTTGGCAAACTTCAACGAGCAGCGCATTAAAGTATCAACAGTCCGATCCCATACCACCTCAGATATCGGTGCCGCCTCTGTAATTTCTCTCAATTCATCGTTTCTCAGCTTCACTTTTAATGAACCAAATGTTCTCAAGATTTCTTATTTTTGTTGTTCCTGCAAAACATGATGTTCAATAAAAATGTCATGCATTGGTCAAAAGTCACTTCACATACCAAGTGTTAGCCCATAAGTTATAATATTTTGGTACTATACAATACAAAACTCTTTCTACCTCCACAGTCAGAAAATTCTTTCCTACTATGAGCATGTTTCAGAAGACAGATATATATGCATTTTGGTTAATTCATATGATTTAGAGAACATTTCGAAGGTGACGAAATGGGAAAAAAACGCTAACCAGGGTTGGGTACCACATCGTTCCCTTGATGAAGAAGCCATGCAAGAGCAAGTTATGGGGTTGTGCTACCATGCTTCTCTGCTAACTTTTCTATCCTAAAATAAAAGGTCTTGTTCTTGTCGAAATTCTGCCCCTGAAACCTTAGCTGAACTGTCTGATTAAAAAGGGTGTTGGAGAACCATAAATTGTTATCAGAAAAGAGAAAAATAACAGAGAATTTCCAAATGACATGACCCATATTATATAGTCAAACATTGAAAAACAGAGAGTATTGGCTTCATACCACATAACTGTCTGCAGCAGGTATACTTTCTTTGAGTGCCTTCCCATAAAAAAATCCACGGCGAAGGGGACCACTTCATTTGCAGAGCAGTGATTGGATGAACAGCATGGGCCCTCCTAATTGTGTCCGGGCTAGCTTCCGACACTCCTATGTATTTAACTTTTCCCTCTTCAACCAGCTTTTTAAGCTCCCCCATCTATTCATTCACACACAAACCAAACCAAACCCAATACCAACCTCACCCAACACCAAATAAAACCATAAAAAGACAATGTTTGACTGATTGTACCACTTACAGTTTTCTCGATGGGCACTGATGTATCAATACGGTGCGGATAATAGAGATCAATATATTCCACACCAAGGCGTTGCAGAGGCTACCCTCACAACATGACCTAACACATTCAGCATCACCTCTCACATTGGCATTGTTTGACAAGCCCAAATTTGTTGCAAGCTGAACTTGATCTCGTGGCAACTCCTTCAGTGCCTGAGAATCAACCAATACTTAATCCACTTTCCCATCAATACAATATATACCTTTCTCCTACCAAAACTTCATGACTGTGGGGACCCTAATTAAAAATCAGATGTATCAAAGAATGTGATTCCAATGCATCCTTGATTAGATAGATGACAACCTCGTCAGGAACAGGACCGTCAAACACTCCACTAAGCCCCGCACAACCAAATCCTAACTTGGAAACCTATAAACATCAAAATGAAAAGAGAAAAAAAAATGGAGATTAACAATTGAAGATGAGAAAATTGGATGCACATCACATCACAATTCACAACTAATTTTCATATGGCAACGTACCTGGAGGCCTTGGGTTGCAAGTTTGCCGCGAGGATTGTCCTCCATTTTTTGTCTTCAACTGTTCATCAATTCAATCCCATCAACCACCGATCTCACTGACTCCTCCTCTCTAGTATTTTATTACTCCCATGCCATCTCCAAATTGATTATTAAAATTGAAAAAAAGAAAGAAAGAATATAACTTTAATTATAAATTATTAAATAATTTAATCTTTTTCAACTAAAGAACAGAATTTATTGAGTAAAAAGAGTTTGTCGTTGTTTAAAGAGAAAATGTTGAATAAAAAATAATTATCTTAAGAAAATGTTATTTTTTATTAATTAATAAAAAAGTGATAAAAAAAATGTCATCTTCATTAGGTTAATATATGCTTACTTTTAACTGATATACAGATTAAAAAAAATAAAAATATAAAGAAATATGATGTTTTTCAAAATCACCTCATTTATATTATATTTCTTCAAAATATAGTTAAAAATTTTGTAATCATATAATTACATCATTTTTTTTATTATATTTTAAAAATAATAAAATTTATTTTATTTTATGTCATTAACAAATAAATTACTTTTTATTTAATTTCATTTTATCTTTATTTTTTTTCTCTTTTCTATAGTTATTTTTCCTTAAAACTAAACATAAGATGAATATATCTGGTCAAGGAAGGAGCGGGTTACAATTAAAAAAACTTAATTTTCTCCATTTCTTTTAAATCAAATCACTTTTAATAATAAAAATTAATTAAAAAATTAAAAATAATAAAAATAATCATAATATAAAAAGTATATTGAATTAACACTCCTTCAATCTTAATTAAGTTAATAATATTTTATTATTTAAATATTAATAGATAGAGAATATAAAAAATTGTTCAAATTTTTTACTTTTCTTTTTATAAAATTTGAAATTCAGTGATTTTTATTTATCAACTTGCTCTCATCCAATGTTATAATTTTAAATTTTTTTTCAAAAAATTAATTTAATTATAAAAAAATACAAATTCTCTTTGAAAATATCTCATCAATACACAATTTATTTTCATCATCTTACATTTTCTTTTCAGTTCTTAAAAAAGCCATGTGAAATATCAAATAAAAAGTAGCAAAAGTGTTTGGTAATATAATTATGCAAATTATAAAATAATAAGTATGTAGTTTCTATTTGGGTCAATGTTCCAACAAGAAATGGCTGGAACATGTGGAATGATGAGTTGTGTGAGGGTCATTATTTTCTTGTACTTCTATTTCCCTTCTGGGGACTGTTCTACTGTGATGGTGGTTGACAATGAAGAAAAATAAGACATCAAAGTCTGTCTGAGTCACCTTTTTCCCATACACTCTTGTTTGTATGTTAAGTCTGACCAAGTCCTTTGCATGCAGTTCACACTGTACTTCTACATTAATTTTTTGAAACCATGATAATTCATATGGATATCACTGTTGTCATTGGTTGGAATTGCAACTGATAATGAGTTCTGCAAAAATGTCTTAGTATTTGTGTTGTTTCATGACATTAATCCTGCAAAAATGACATGGTTTTTGTTTGTTTTATAACACTAATTCTGCAAAAATGTAGTGGTTTTTGTGTGGTTAAGGTAAAATTTAGAGGAAAGCCCTGTCAAGTTTACCTTCTTGTCTTGGGACCTCACACCTATAATTTAAAGCCCCTTTCATCAAATACCAAAAACCATAAACGTTTTCTAAAATTTCAGGCCCAACACTTTTTTTCACTGCATAAGATTGGACGTTTAAGTTGTATTGAAAGTTTTAATTTAATTTTTAAAATTTTACTAAATTAAGATAAAGTTTTAAAAATTATCTTATCTTTCACTGTTATCTTTTATTTCAAGAAAATTTCTATGTGTTATTATTCAAATGTAATTTATTTTGTCTATATTATAATAAAATATATTTTAGTTTATAAATATTAGAGTTAAATTGTATCTTTAAAAGATTGTGAAAGTTACTTTTAAGAATTATTTATTTAATAATTAAAATTTAACAATAAATTAAAATATACATTTTTAAATATTAAAAATATCATCTAACCTAATTTATTGTCACCATCTTTCTGCTTTTGTTTTATGTTAAGTTATTAAAAAATTATTATTAAAATATATAATGTGAAATTATTTATACAAAGTTTACCTGTATAAATAATTATTATTTAGCATTTGTTATGTTTTAAGACGGAATTATTAATAATTTTTTTTAAATATTAATATGTAAAAGAATTATAAAATCTTAAATTAAAATTAAATAATTATATTATTAATCTTGATATTAGATGATTTTTTATACATGTTAAATTTATGTAGAGTTACATAACAGTCTCATTAACTAGGTAAACTGTTATTTTTAATTAGGAGTGAGCAAGATATAGTTATGACAGATAAAAATAGGATTTAAAATTTAGAGTTTACAACAAATTATAAATAAATTTAAAGTTAAACAAAATTGCACATAATTAAAAATTAAGAGATCCAAATGACATGAAAATAAATTAATAATAAAGATTGTAATTAATTAAAAAAAAGAAACTAAAGTTGTAACAAAAAAAATTAAGTACTAAAATGACTGATTTTATAAAATATTAAAACCAAACTTACAATTAATCTTAATAATTATTAACTAATAGATTGACAGCAGAGAACATCTACTACCTATTTTAGAATACCCTTTTAACCTACTCTACTTTGCTGACATCTGTCCAATATTAGGCTATTTTAATCATTTAACACTATTGTAGAATTATATCTAACGTTAAACATATATTAACTACTGGGCGTTAGGAGTAATATATATTCTAAATAGTCTAAACAATAACACTGTTTGTAAAATAGTTAATAAAGATTAATAAATTATATAGTTAATTTAAGTCATGCAGTATTTTATTTTATTCTTTCATTTCAAAATGCTGATAATAAACACTTTAAATTGAATTAAGAAATAAAATGGTCAATTACTAAATTAAAATCACCATAGAAAGCATGCTATGAAAAACATTAGAACTTCTTGCATCAAATATATACTATATATATATATAGTTCATACCATATATACCCTACACTTATATAGGAACTAAACTAAATTATTAGAAACATATAGGGGACTATAACACTGATAGAGACTGTGTAGTAAGGTTTTACACTGATATGATTGATTTAATAAATTTTTACACTGAGAATTTGCTACTTAATGTAGTCAGTAAATTATATATATTATTTTAAAAAAAATTAAAAAAGTAACAGGAAGGAATTGGAAATAAATACGTAAGAGGAGGCAATAATATTAATTTTAAAATTTGAAGATAATGATTAAAAAAAAACATAAGAAGTGTGAAATTTATTAATTATAGTTGGGCTGAAAAACATAAAATATAGAATACAACTACCATAGGGCTTTAGGGTGGTCGCACTTGACTGAGTAGCACATTTCACTGTTTGTTTGTCTCAGTTCAAAATGCTTTATCTTCCTCGGGTGGACATTTTGCAGTTGAGAGTGAATCCTAGTTTGGGGGGCATTGTTTTATCACAAAACCAAACTTCACACTTCTCATCATGCCAGTGTTTCTTCCCCTCGTGCCATGAAATCGAAACTTCAACTTTTAATTAGGGACATTATCATATTTAACCACCCAAACCAACCTCTTTTTCATAATTCTACCACCACCATGTGCACAACATTGGGTTCAGTAGCATTGCAACAATTCTGATAATTATCACTTTATGGAGACCATTTCATCATATATTTGGGACAAGTAAAAACGGGATTCTACTGCACAAACTCCTTTTCTTGGGTTAACAAAATTAATCACCACTTTTTTGGTATCCTAAGTCACTACACCATCACATATAGTCGGAGCAATTAAGCATACCAAACTGCTAAACTTCAATACCCCACTAAAACACTTTGCCATGAAATTAACCCCAATCTTTCTCTTTTTGTGGGATAGCAATTGGACCCTATATATAGTTGGTTGTTAGAAAGAAAAAAAAGTGTGTGCGTGTGTGTATGGAATCAACTTGCTTGCATCTCAAGGGAATTCTCTGTCCACATGAATCTCAGAAGAAAGAATCAGAGGAAAAAGAAATAAGAACCTCCCAAGTCAAACCAGGTTCAAATGTTTACTTCACCTAATTTATTATGATTTATGAAAGTCATATATATATATATATATATATATATATATATATATATATATATATATATATATATATATATATATCTGATGTTTAATTTTGAGATTAGGTTGAGAATTATAACAAGGTTGAGTGGGAGTTTAGGTAGAAAGTTTAAGCAAAAGCTATCACGTCCCTTTTTCGTAAAGAAGAGAAAGGCACCAATACAAATGCAAGGAAGTTGCAATTATGTACATGTCGGTTGCAGAACATCAATTAAAGAATTACGTTGGTACATTGTTTACTTGTTTTTTAATTTTTTTCAAAACAAAAAAGAGAAATTATTCTATATGGAGTAGGGAGCTAAAGGCTATTAATCAGAAACATTGAGTTTAATGATGTGAAGCACTTTATGCCATAGAAAAAGAAAAGTTTTGAAAATGTTGGGTTTGTTGGTTTTCTTATTTTCCCTTTTGTGTGATAGTGTGAAGCTTAGGTTAGAGGGATGAATCGCAACCGTGCAAATTGCAAAATGGTCCCCTATATACTCATTGTTCCCATACTCTATTTGGTTCATTCTAACTGATGCCTACCTTACATACAACACAGACAATATGAGAAAAAGAGAGGCAAAGAAAAAGCTTGAAAGGGTCATCCAACAAAAGTTTTAAAAGCCCGTTGAGACATATAGAAACTCTCGCTGGAGTGTCTGCATGTGGTGGCGTGAGCGTGATATTATTAAATTCGTTTCAACAATAGGACCACATGCATACATCTTTCTCCTTGTTTTACTTTTCATCATCTTCTAATGCTTTCTGCTTTGCCTTCCCCTCCCTTAGTTCAACTCGGCTGTGAAGTTACCAAAATGGCCAACTCACCATAACCACACCCCGTGATTAATGGACACTTCTCTTCAAATTTCTTCCACCAAACAAACTGATCTTGTTATTTAATTACTCACTGCTTCTCTCTACATGTATACCCCTTTCATGCCAAAGAGATGGATGAATTACCAAGACTTGTACGTTTCATATTATATATTCTGTCAATAAATTCAGTTCAAAAATTGAAAAATATACTGTTTGAAGCAGTATGTATATTGTAACATACATAGATTAATTAAAACCCCAGGCCCCGCAAAAAAAAGAGAAAGAAAAAATGCATAGACTAACACAAAAATACAAATTAAGAAAAAAGAAAGAAAGACAGTGATCTATCTTGGTCATATGAGACAAAAAAGATGACACTGGAAACAGCAAAACTAGCTACTTAGAACCAGAGATGGTCCAAAATGTAGCCTAATAAAAAACGTACAAAAGAGGGAGACAAAAAACTAAAAAGGAACCACATACTTTTATTATGCTTTTGCTAGCTATACGTTTACCATCTCTTCCCATCGCTCTTATCTGTACGCAATCCTCAACCTTGGAGAGACGAGGAGAAGAACGACACAACATGTGTGTATATATATACATACATAGCCTGAGAATTAAACAAAGTATAGATGAAGATTATAAGCTCCTACGGTATCTGCGCTGGCCGGAGGAAGGGTCATACATTTGTATCCTCTCTTATCGTGCACCTGCAGCAGTTGAAGCTGCCAGCATGATCTGAGTTTACCTTCTGTAATGGTAAGAACAGATCATGTGGCTGCTTCACCTGTTGAACGGAAGCATATACAAACCCTAATTCGCTTTCTCATCCTCCACAACATCTTCATCCGGTATCATAGAACCCTAGAAAAGGTTTCTTCCGTTCATCCTTCCTTGCATCTTGTATCTATATACACAATTATGCTTATATGTATGTAATATGTATATTCGGATATGTACTTCATTGTTGCTTTTTCTCTCTTCTACTTCTTCTTCCCATAAATATGCATGTTTTCTGGATGGCTGAATTGTTATGTTTTGGCTAAATCTGAAGATTGGATTTGAATCGGCATTCATGTTGCTTGATTCTTGCAAAAAGAAAGAGGAGAGGATGGTGGCATGTGTTCAGGATTGAAGTGACAGTAACGCGTTTAGGTGCATCTCCTACCTTGGGGTTGGAGACACTTTTAGTTTTTAATTATTTAAACCAGCTTTTTTTGTTCATTTTTCTCTTGCATATGCTATTATGCACTGGATTTGGTTTGTCTACCAATCTTACCTACTCATCAGTACTTATAAATTGTATATATTTTGTTCTGTATTCATCTGATTATTATAGGAGTTCCCAACTTCCAGATCTACAGCAACTGAATATAGATGTGGTCAATTAGACATTGGATTAATTGTCCCTCACTTCCCCCAACCCCCACCCATATATAAATCGATCTTATACCATGGTTATTTTTTGTCCATCAATAAATTCAGATCCTTGTTTCATAAACATAGATGCTTGTACTGACACAATCAAGCTGTTAATTAAATTAATTACGTTGCTTTTCTCTCTAGTTGATGACATAGTGAAACCATTTAGTGCAGGATGGGATGAAAAGTGCATGTGTTTTTCTATGAACAGATCAAGCGAAGACAATCTTGTAATTTAGTCCTTACTGATATATAAATGGAATGGAATGAACTTGGTCAACTAAGACTTGATTGAGAGGGTTAGTATATTATATATCGTTTCAATTCATATTTTGATTTACATAATTTTTCTCTGCTGTAACTAAATTTGATGCAAATTATCTAAAACCTTCCTGGGTGAAGATTTGTTTGGGAAACTAAATAAATTTGTATCATGTCATTTCATTCTCTATTTTCTCTCACCTCAATGTTGTTGTTGTTTTCAAAAGAAAGCTACCAACCACGGCTAGTGAAAATTAAGAAAATTTTAGAGTGAACAAGAATTGACAGAAACGCAGTGGATACTTGAGAGTATCAAAGAAAAAGGCACAACCAACATCTGCAAGAAGATCAGTATCTGTATCCATGACATAATTAATAGTTTTAAATTTCCTCACTTGAAAGATTGTTACACAAAATGCATGGTATCTTCTAAATGGATATTTCACATGTGCACACATGATATATATATAAGGTAATTTAATTGGTAAACAGTCTCATTGCTGAAAACACAGACCACGTACACCCAGTTCAGCTTTTGGGGAGAAGTTGCATAGCCAATTTTAGATTGACTTATAAAATGGAAACAACACACAGTTGCTTTATTTATTGAAAAATATTATTTGTCATTCTTTGAATTACAGAAACGATTTATTTTTAACTTTGTTGCAATCAAAGAATTCTAAGGAATTCTGCACTACTTTATATTAACAAATTATTATTTATCATCTTCATTCACTCCATTGTTGTTTTCTGTTTTTTAAAAAATATTCTTATTTTCAAGAAATATTTTTCTATATGATAAATAAATTTTAATCTGATGAAACTAAATTTATAATGAAACGATTTCTTAAAAAATCAGAAAAAAATTACTCTTTAGCGATTTTATGAGGAGTTTCTTTCTCCTATTTAAACTTTTAAAGTAAAATTGTTAACTGTATTAAATTTATTTATGGAAAGATGACGTTCATCCAATCATTTATATAAATTTAAGATTAAGATATGGGGAACTTAGCTAAAAAATAATTATTTTATTTTAAAAATAATTTTAGACATTAATTTTAAAAAATTGTTTATTAACTATAATTTAAAATTATTTTAGATGAACGATAAAGACGTTTACATTGAAAAAAATTATTAAGGTTGAAAATTAATTTTGATAATTCATTATCAAAGATGATGCAATATAATTTTATTGGTGAAAAGATGAATATTATTAATAAAAAAATTAAAATTAAAAATATATTTATCAGTTTTGATTTTATTTTTTAAACTAAAAAACAAAAATATTTTTTAAAGCCTATATCTATTTTAACACCAATAAACAAATCATCAATAATTTAAATTTAAACAAGAAATTTATCTATTATTTTTTAAAAATAAATGGTATATTAAGAAATTTGTTCAAACTCCAGTTATCAATGCTTTACCTTTATACAATATGCTTTTTTATATATATTTTTTTATAAAAGAAATAATCTTACGGAAGTTTTACGGTTTTTTTTTTATTTATTAGGTAAAATTTAGTCCGATATTTACTAAAATAAATATTTTTTTTTAATTTACAAATATAAGCAAGTCGTACTACATATTTCCAGCATGACTTTTGATTTTTTTTCTACTTTACGTTACATGATACGATTTTGAATATTTAACTTTTTATTTATTTTTAAAGTTGTATTACATTGTACGTTTTTAATTTAATTTCATTTTATCAAATTTATGTTAGATAATATGAGTTTTTTTTAATATTTTTTCAAATTCATGTTTTATATTGAATGAATTCTAAAAATAATATATTTTAAAAGAAAAATTACTCCAATAAAACTTATATTAATTTATTTACCTATTAGACCTATTTAATGTTATGTATTATTTATTTAATAAATACATTCTAGTTATAATAATTTTGAGTCATGATAATTAATTATATTAGGTAATTTTAAAAAAGTATTTAATTTTTTCTTAATAAATATAACATAAAAATAATATTTGTAATATCTCAATTTATCCTATAATATTTTTTAAATATAATATATTGAATTATAGTATTTCTAGATTATTTAAATGTTTTTACTTTTCAATAGTAATAAATAACTTATGCTATCAAATTTTAATCTATTGTTTGTAATTGAAAAATGAAATGAAATAAGGAAAGAACAAGAGAAAAAAGAAAAACAAGTAAATGAAGAGGAAAAAAAATAAAAAAATATAATGAAATGAATTTATATATCCTTATTAAATTTTGTGTATAGATAATAAATAGGTCTAGGTAAATAAATCTAAAATATTTTAGTTAAATGATTTTTCTTCATAAATATATTCTTTATGATATTTATATTCTTTTATTATTATTAATATTGAAATTATGTCCATGAAATTTCAGTTTTTTTTATTTAGTTATTAAATATTATATATAATAATTTTCTATTTATCATATTTTAAGATTATAAATATATAAGTTAAAAAAAAATTAAAATTATAACACTACAAAAAAAGCCTATTATCTACAAAATATTACTTACGGATAAAAATCAGTAGGTAAATTATACATTACATACATATATTACCTACGGATAAAAATTCGTAGATAAATTGTACATTACATACAGATATTACCTACGGAATTCTATCCAGTGGGTAATTATCTATTACTTACGGATATTTTTCGTAGGTAATGTCATCCGTAGTAATTACGTAGGTAAATTATATCAAATTAAAATACATTGTATTAAGTTATTCATTACCTACGGATATTATTCGTAGGTAATGTTGTCCGTGGGTAATTCAGTATATAGTTACTTATGGAATTACTATCCATAGGTAAATTATATCAAATTAAAAAAAGTATAACTGACAGGATTCGAACCCAATACCTTAGAGTTGAAAGCCGATATTCCAACCATTAAATATATAAATATGTAAATATATAAATATATATAAATATATCAAAATATATAAATATATGAATATATGAATATATGAATATATAAATATATGAATATATAAATATATAAATATATCAAAATATAAATATATTTGTATTTATATATTTTATATTTATATATTTGATATTTATATATTTATATATTTATATATTTTATATTTATATATTATATATTTATATATTATATATTTATATATTTTATATTTATATGTTTTATATTTATATATTTTATATTTATATATTTACACTGATAAATATAAATATAATTTATTTGTAAGTTATTATCAAAATATCCTAATAAGCTTAGTGGTTGGAGTATTAGCCTTCAACTCTAAAGTATTGGGTCTGATTCCTGCTAGTGACAATTCTATTAATCTGATAATATTTCAAGTTACATACAGATTTCCTATGTAAAAAAATTCATAGGTAAAATGACATTACCTACGAATTTTTGTCATTATCTACGGTAGATAATATACTTTTTTTTAGTGTAATAACAATTTAAAAAATATATACAATAAGATTAATAGAATAAATTACATGTTGCAAAATAATATAATAAAAAATAATTTAGTTTGTTCAACTATACAATATTCCTTTATTTTATTTTATCAAGATATTTCATTTTGTTAAGGAACATCTCTTTATTGTGCATATGTATTATGTTGATTTTTTTGAGTTGGATTCTGAGCATATGATTACATAAGTATTATTATCTAACTATATTCCTAAATGAGTTTAGGGTTTAGTGTTAAAGAACTCTTCTTGACATAATTGTTTATTTCATAGATGAAAATTTTATTAATAGTGGAAATTAAAATTTATTTTCATTAATATTTATAATAATTGAATGAGGGAAAACAATATTTTGATTTGATTATTCTAATTGTTAAAACAATATCTCACATGTCAAAAAAAAACATCTATATCATATCAGATAGATGAACAGATAGTTATAGATAGATGTCAGAAAAATATTCATTTTGTTATACTAAGAATCATAATCGTAAAAATTATCAGATAAACAAAAATATTGTAATATTTTAATTTTAATATTATTGTATTTAATTTTTTAAATTATTATCATAATTTTAACTTTATTAGTTATAAATTTATAATTTTAAAATATGATAAATTAACAATATTATTTTTTAATTAAATTAAAATATAAAAAGATAAAAAAAAACTGAAATGGTAATACATAAGAAGAACTCAATATTAATAATAAAAAAATCCAAAACAGAAATAAAAAAAACACAAAAAACTCATGTCATATAATAACATGGTTCTAATAAAAGAATTGTCACAACAAGACTTTTAAAATAAATAAAAACATCTAAAATCATATTATATAATACGATTTCATTAAAAAAAAAACATACTTAGATAGTACGAGTTAATATGATTTGTCTAAATTCGTAAATTTTCAAAATTTATCAATTTTCTGTGAATTAAACTAAACGAACAGAATTTCACATGTGAACCAAAATTGTGAAAATATATGATTTTATAAAGAAAAAAACAATAAAGTAAAAGAAAATACTTTCTTTGGTATTGTTGGCTGACTTGAATTTCTTGTACGGAAGGGAAAAATCTTCCTTTCATGGCTTCTCCGTCGCTATCAATAGTGAAGTGGGCCAAAACTTTATTATATGGATTAGTGAAATTTGTTCCTCTCATAAATTGGTACAAATTTCAGATACTATTAGATTACAATATAACAAAAGAAAAACAATTAAATAAGATTCATTGACTAATTATAATTTTATAACATCAAATTCTCACATTATTTCATTAACACAATCAAATCCTTAGCAAATTTACAGTAATTCTGTTTTTAATTGTATCTTTACTTTCCTCTATCTTTTTTTTTCTTCTTCTTATTTTTATTTTATTTTTCTATCTTATTGATTTGATTTTCATTTCTTTCAATTGTAACTAGTTGATAAAATAAACAGTACTGAAATCAAATGTAAAAAGATTGGAATAAAAGAAATTAGAGAATAAAAATGAAAAAAAGAAGAAGAAAATTACTAGTTTTTAAAATGTTTTTTATATAAATTAAAATAGTTATTTTGAATTAGAAAACTTTCAAAATTTACTCTTTGATCAGAATTTTTTAGAAAATTTTTCTTCGATAATAACCTCCTACTGTTTCATATTTATTTCTAAATTTATAGTATTACAATATTTTTTTATCATAAATATAAAATGGAATTTATATATTAAAAGTGTTTTGTTATAAATGTTGGTGTTATATATTAGGTAAGATAGGTATTTAGGTTTAAGCACGTGATTTCTTATTTAACAAATATTTTACTTTGTTTGCAATTTTCTTTGATTTATTTTTTTATTATAAAGTTATTTTTATATGATATAAAAATAAAAATTAAATTTGATTCAGTTTTAATTTCAATTTAAAATATATTAAACTAATATTTTACGATTTTATATTGATTAAATTTTGCAGTTTTATTGTTATAAAACTATTAAATATTATTTAAAAAAATTATTAAACATTGATTATGACTAATTATTAAATAAAAATATATTTTAAAGTTTGTTTAATACAATTATTATTACATTTATAACTTTAACTTTATTTCATATTCATAAATAAATTATATAATCTTATAATTAAAAAATAATTATATAAATGTTAATATATTATAAATACACCTAAATCAAACAGTAATTTTGTATATATTTGATTAGTGATTACTTAATTTAAAATATATAGTATTATTTAAGAATTATATTTAAAATATACTAAGTGTTTGGATTTGTCTTTTAGCTTTCGATTTGAAATTCGAACAAAATTAGTGTTCAGAAGAAAAAATAGATTAAAAAGATTAATTATGAACGAGAAGTTGGTTCAATTATAAACATCTCTATTCCATACATGTATGAGGAGAAAATAAAAAGTTCTTCCAAGTTTTCTTGATGGCATTGAACATTTCACGAACTTTTTTTCCTCCACAAACGCAAAATTATCTTGTTGTAAAGAGTTGTCAGAATTCTAAAATTTATTAACCTAAATAGGATGAACCAATTTACTTTCGAGAAAATTGATCAAATACCCAATTCAAGAATCCTACATTAACTTTTTGAAAGGACTTAGGCATTCTTAAATGTTTGTTTGAATAAGAAATTAGTACATTGTAATGTATTTTTATAGAGTTTGAATAATAAAAAATGATATTACCTGCAACAATCTCATCCTCAGTAATTGTCCTATAAGATGTCGCAATTCTTTTATTGTGACTCGATCCACTCGACCTCTTGCACGAGACAATTGTATAACCCTCAACAATTACCCACCAGGAATAGAACTCGTGACCTTGACAGAGCGCTTACCACTAGGCCAAAAAATATAATCATTAGTCAAAGTGCAACTCTTTTTACTTTAACAGTCCAAACATCACGATTCGATTGTGACTCAGTCCACCTGGCGTTCGTCACGGGACAATTGATGCTACCTGCATGTATATAACTTTAAAAGAAATTAAATTTTTTAGAATTATTTAACAAAAAAAGTCGTATTCAGTCTCAACCGTGTGTATACATAGCTAAAATGAGTTTCAAGATATAACTTTTACAACTTTGTTGAACGTCTTTTAACATCTGTAAATATAAGAGATCGATTTGATACAATACAAAGATGAAGAATAACAAGGTGAAATCCAGAAATAAGACAAGGAAGAAGGAAAATTTTACAAAATGTATCATAACATCTAACTTTTCATATCACTTATTTCCATATAAGCTTCTTTGAATTCTCAAATAACAAACCAGAATGAAAAAGAAAGTGTTGCATTTATTGATCGTTTGTTGGATTGGTATAAGAATGAATTAAGCAGCCATCATCCTCACGAATTCTTCATAATTAACTCGACCATCACCATCCAAATCAGCCACTCTGATCATCTGCTCCAGCTCTTCTTCTGTGATCTTCTCTCCAATATTTCTCATCACAGTTAACAACTGTACGCATATAAATGGTTATTAATTACACGAACTCAGGGTCAAACAAATAATTGAGTTATGCATGCTTCCTTAAGGACTTAAGTGAACCTCTGTGGGTGATATGTAACCATCTTGATCCTTGTCAAACAGTCTGAAAGCTTCTTTCAATTCCTCTTCTGCTTCACTTTGCTTCTCGATCCATCCATCCAACACATGCATGTCCCTTTTCAGCATTACTCTCATTTATGAACAAATTAAATTAAATTTCTTGATCCACACGCACCTTCATTTTTCTGGCCATCAGATTCAAGAACTGCCCGAATTCTATGGTCCCGTTGCCATCCATATCCACTTCATTCATCATGATTTGCAGCTCTTCCTTCCTAGGATTATTTTGATTCAGTGTTCTAATTGCACTAGCTAATTCTTCCATGGTTATGCAGCCTTTTTTTTTTTTTCAATTTACATTATGTAGCATATATATATATAAACGAAATACACGTTAGAAATCAGTAAAAAAGACTCAAAAGAGAACAAACTGAAGGACCAAGAATGCAAACACCAGAGAAGAGAAACAATGACAGAAAATTATAATCCAACTATACATGAAATACCAAATTAATTAAGTTGAAAGAAGGTTCAGAAAGGATACACACCATCTCCATCTCTGTCAAAAAGACAGAAGGCTTCTAGAAAATCGGCAATCAGATTTTCAGTCAGCACTTCCTTCATGTTAAAAAACTGGCTGCAGATCACACCACCTAATCACAAAATTTAGAGAGAGAAAGAAGAAGAAGGAAAGAAATGGAATAACAAAATAAAAAATAGGCTAGATTGACATTTATATGCATACATCAACATCAAATATATAAGCCAAAGCACAAATTTTAAGAGGGAAGTTCAGACATGCATGCACCAACCGCCCAAGGAAAAGGGCCACCAACTAATTTGTGAGAAAATATTGTACGGAAGAAGGAAATGAAGTTACCAAAAGTTGCCCCTTCAAGATCTTAGAAAATATGACTGGCATGATGATATAAAACTTTTTAATTGCTAACCTAATTATTATAAAATGAAAATTGTTTTAAGTAGAGTGAAGATTGTTTTAGAAAAATGTATGCTTTTCAAAGTAATTTAATAAAGATTATTGAATACCCTTTAATCTATTATCTAAAAGCTCCTTATTGCAATTGCAATGACACCCTTTAGATTCAAACACTGTTATAGCGCAATGTGGGAACTCTCTCTGTCCCAAATCACGAAAAAGTCTTTCTATATGACTTTTTTTCAGAAGAGGGTGGTGTTGATGAAAAATTCTATGGTTTTCGTAGTTCCCACTTCGTATTCCCACAGTCTAGCGTGTAGGTGCCGGTGCCCAATTCATGTGTCATGTCAGCTCTGTTTGCTCTTATCAGGCACAGAAATTACACATAAAAGGAAAGAGAATGGCAAAGAAATGAATTTTTCTCTGCAGTTCGTTAGAGTTGCGTGTAAAGAGCAAATATGCGCCAGTCTTCTTTTAGCTGTTAATTTTGGAACCTTAGATTGTGTCCTCTTCAATAAATTTACAAGGATCCAAACAGAAGACCCAAAGATTTGAATGGACATGTTTATCACGGCATTACCATGTTCTAAGCGCATGGTTTGTCTACTCGCCAACCATTATCTTGTTGAAAATGGAGAGTCTGAGTTACAAATCAATCTTCATCGCAGAAAATGAAAGATAATCGTAAATTTGCTGTACAATTTCGTTTAAGGATATCACCAAAAATAGAGCCTTGTTCCATTATTCTTACCAAATGACAAACAGAGGGATAAAAAATGATGGACATAGCCCAAGATGATAAAATAAATAAATAAACCCTAAAAGGAAACTATTGTTATGGGCTCCATTTGGATCTGTTTTCGTTTTTTTTTTTTTTTTGTTATGAATCAGTTCCACTGACATCTTATGTGACTTTATATTATAGCAAGAAAAAGAATAATTTTTATTCCAATTTCATTTTTATTCTTAAAAAATTATAATAGTAATGTATTTACAGTTTCAAAGAAAGGAAGTCAAATTGCACTTCTGAAGATAAATAAACCGTGCGCTAAAGTTGTAACTCTTGGTTCTCTGTCAAGCAACAAACCTCACAATGTGCATATTTGCCTTGTATACATTCATCAATTTATTAAGAATAATGACTCATTTATTGAGTATTAAGTGAGATTCATGCAATTTCATGATTTTTTTATGAATTTTAATTGATAGTATAAAAAGTGAGATTCCTGCAATCATAATTTTTAATAAATTTTAATTGATAGTATAAAATTTATTGAGTGTATTTCTATATCCATTATCTATACTTATAATAGTAATAATTCCATTTGATTTTCATATTGATTTTGGTTAGTTAATTTTTAATTATTACACATATATTCATCAACAACTAAATTTAAAAATAGGTCTTAATTATACTTGTTTTTAAATATCGTGACTTAAATACAATATTTTATTCTTAAACTTGTACTTATATTTTTCAAGTTGGAATAATTTATTTAACATGTACCATTACAATAAAATAATTTAGTATGTATAACATAAACTAAATAAAATACTTACAATATATTAGTTTATATCAATTATCTTGTTTTCTAAGTACTAATAATAATAATAAACATTTTATATTTTTTGGTATAGATTTATAACCATTATCCTTAAGAGTCTGCACAACTGACAGAAAACCAACAACTCATTGTATATGAAACTATTTTCCAATATCTCACGTCTCACTCCTCTCATATGAGAATGCACACTCAGAGTACCTTAAGCTCGCAGCAATAGAACATTTAGAGATATCAAATATACACAAGCAAGAAAAAAAATTATTTGCTTACTGATAAATTATTTAGACACCAAACAAATAATTTAGCGCTTCTTCTAGTGTAGTAGTAAACCATCTTAAGCACATGCAAGTGCCTTGAAAAAAAGAACTAAATAAAATACACATGAACAAGCCACAGAGACATAACAATAACAAAGCCTTAGCCGCTTAAATAAACATAAGCAGATACCGCCAGTGGCTATGTATAATCCAACTCTTCACTTATTTAGGTGATTACTACCTCCATGTGATGACCACTTCATTCTTTGCCATCTGCTGCCCGAAGTGAGCCTAGTTGAACTGGGGCCTGAGTCTGCACCACTTTGGAAGACCCATACACTGATATATCAATACCTTGAGCCTTCTCCTTCTCAATCTGCTCCTTAATCCAGAAGTATGTGATCCTCAACCCGTCCTACAATATCAGAATTGGGAAAATCTAAGGATTTCATTATTCTTTCTGTAAGATACAGAGCACAAATTGGATAGAAAAGTTTGAGACACAGAACTTAATATCAACAAGGAATTAGTAAGCATTGTGCAATTGACCTATAAGCTATGATGGATGTTGCAAAGAACTTAATATGAGCATGCAATAAATTGAAGAGTAGAAATAAGAAGATAGTTTCCGCTGGATTAAGAATATTAATACCTTCAACTTCATAGTAGGAGCCCAACCAAGTTTTTCTTTTATCAGTGTATTGTCTGAATTCCGCCCTCGAACACCCTCGGGGCCAGGAATGTGATGAATAGGAATATTCTTGCTCTCAAAGCCAAGAATAATCTCTGCCATCTCATTCATGCTAACCATCTCATCACTTCCAATATTCACTGGCTCACGGAAGTCAGATTTTGTCAATCTAGACACAACAATAAACCCCAACGTCAAGATTTATCAAAGATTATGAACTAACCCAAGAAAAAGGTTAAACTTTTCCATAATGTCTTGATATACTCATTACCCTTATTCAACGAACTTGGGCAAACCCTATATTATTGAAAAGCAGAGAAGTACATATTGTAGGCAGTTAATCTAATATGTTGAATTAGCTAATGATTATTTTTCTTTCCGAAAGCCCCAAGTTTAAATAAATGGGTTTTGCAAAGAAATCTACTAATTGTGTGTTTGGTTCAATGTCTGTGATCCACGTGCCTTTCAAATTCATGTCAAAACCAGAAAAATTAAGCACTACCAAGCTCGCATAGTGTTAAGTGGACACACGTCACAGAGTACAAAACATGGGGCAACAAAATTGACAAGCCCTCCAAATAACTTAACAGAAGTTCCTCTACTGACATTGTTTTCATGAGTCAGAATTTTAATACTAAACATACCAACAGCAGAAAGAACAGCAAAATTTAGCTATAAGCCAAAAAAAACAGCCAAGCCATACCTAAGCACACCTTCAACACACTCATCAATGAAGGTAAATGATCGTGTTTGCAATCCATCTCCCCACATCTCAAATCTATCAGTGGAAGTGATTACCTTCCGACAAAAAGCAGCAGGAGCCTTCTCCCTTCCCCCTGTATGACAAAACAACAGAACACAAACTTAGTAAATCCAAAAGGATACCAAAATACAAAACTGTCTACCAATTTACCCATCGAGTAAAGACAAAACTATAAAAGCTTTGAATTCATTGAAAAAGCATGCCTTTCCAAGTTCCAAAAGGACCATATATGTTATGGAACCTCCCAATACGGCACTCAATTCCAAAATCCTTGTTATAGTGCTTGCATAACTCCTCAGTTGCAAGCTTCTCCAGCCCATATGCATCTTGTGGCTAAAAACAGTCACAAAATTAAACACATTACTCCCACAATCCCAATGTGAAAATCAATAATCAACATAAATTGAACAATTGTAAATCACCAACAAACCTCAGCTGGCCATGCATCAGACTCCTTCAAGCTCACATTGGTTTCCAACTGTTTAAACTCAGGGTAGATACAAGCACTAGAGGCATAAAAAAACCTGGAAAAAAAAATGGACTGCGTAAAGCACATCATGATATGATTAAAACAAACAAACACCACATCATAAATGTTTGGTCCAAAATTATATGAGATGATATGCATGATGACTAACCGCTTAATGCCGTTAATCCTGGCAGCCTCAATCATGTTGAAGCTAATCATTGTGTTGTTGTACATAATGACAGAGTGATTAGACTGAATAAAGCCCATCCCACCCATGTCTGCAGCCAGATTGAAAACATGATCAACCCCCTCAGTAACCTTCAGGCAGTTATCCATGACCCTGAGATCAACAAGATGGAATTCATCACAGAACATGTCCTCAGTCATGTGCTCATTTTTCTTCCAGTCGGAAGCAATAATGTAATGCCCCTCCGTCTTGAGGCGCCGAGCTATGTGTGATGCAATAAAACCCCCAGCCCCAGTGATAGAAATCTTAAGCTTCTCTGATGGCCAGTAAGGCTCTCTCTCAAGATTCTCATAAGTGTACTCACCATAATCAGTTCTTCCAGCACTCCCCATTCTGCACATAACATGTATTTGGAAAGCAAACAGAAAATGCTTAAGAAAATTAAGTCCAAAACATCATCAAATACTCTTTAAACAAAAACAGTTTGTGTGAGGCAACGGAAATGTGAGACCAAGGAAGAAGAAGAAAAGTGAAATTGACGAAAATTCCTCTTTTCAAAGAATAAAAAACCAAGCTGAAAAGCACGGCGAGGGTCCGGGGAAAAGAACGACATGCAACACATGCTGGCACATGAGGGTACTAGAATGCTATTAATTAATAGAAGTATAATGAAAACACTTAACTCATTATAGTTGGCAGTAATAAAAGATCAAACTTAAAAAAAAAAAGAGTTTTAGGTTTATATAAAAACTCTCCGACCCACCTGTCCCGAAATAATGGGGGGAAATTAAATTAGAATATATATTTCGTCTCTGGTTGAGGTGAAGAATATAGAATTGAGGCAAAGCATAATCTAGGTATATACACACCAACAGGCATAATGGGTGACACCAAAACAAAAAGTAAAGATACAGAGAGAATGACAGAATTGTTCCATATGGGAAACCCATTAGTATTCAATTTTAAACCCTAAGCATGGATGGTAAATTTTAAAAGATAAAGATAAATGATGGGGTGAATTGAGGAACAAACCTGTGAAGAGGGAAAAGAGAGAGGTTGAAGAGGAGAAGGGGTTGAGATAATGTATGGAGAGAAGGGGATAGGAAGTGATTTGAGAGTGGTAGGAATGCTATATATAGGATGAGAAGGGAAAGCCACTCATTAGTTATTTGTTATTTCCTCTGCTCACAATAATTGGCCAGGTAGCAGCCAAGAGCCACCCACCCACCCACACGACACACACACCCAGAGGACAGACAGTGGCGGGCGAGTTGAACGGGGCAGTGGACCCAAAGTTATTTTTAATTTCGATCTAATTTATGATTTTTAATCTTTAAATTTAATCAATATGTGATATATTTATTTATTTATTTATAATTTTATTTTGATGTAATTTATAATTTTGATTTTTTAAATTTAATTAATATTTAATATATTTATTTATTTATTTATAATTTTGATTTTTTAAATTTAATTAATATTTAATATATTTATTTATTTATTTATAATTTTATGTTTTCAATTTTTTTTAATTTTATAATTTTTATATAATTTATTATTATTATTTTTTTAATTTAATTATTATTTAATATATTTAAATATATATCTATAATTTTATTCTTTTATCTTTTTATTTTTTTTATATTTATTTTTTATTTATTAATAATATATTATTTAACCTTTTAAAATTAATGTTGAATATCCACCGACAGGTACAGACACAAACAATGTTCACAGTTATTCTTCCTCCACTCACAGACAATAATTACCCTGGGATTATATTATTTGTTCTACTTTAACAAAACCTTGTAATTTAACCCTATTTTTCTCAATTATTTAGGGCTGGGAATCGCATCATTGAAGCTGTCGTACGACAACAAAAAGTGGTACACTAAAACGCATTTAACACGTTGCATATCCGAACCCAAACGAAGAAAAAGTTTTACGATGAATAAGTGAAGGTATTTTTACTTATTTAGTAAATCAAATTGCAGTGAATCAACATAATCCAACCACGACAATACATGTTGGTTAGAATAGGTTGGAATCAAATTCTTAAAGAATCTACCCAGTTTATTCCATTTCTTAATAAAAAAATATAAATATATGAGTAAGATTATTTCAGCATTTAATGCTTGAGTTTATCTTGATGATTTATGATATTTTATTCTTATATGAAATAACATTTAAATAACTTGTATTCTAATAAAGATATTAATTTTAAGAGTAGAAAAATCATTCTTCCTCAACTATTACTTTTTTGCATAATTTAAAATATTATAACTTCTTTTATTTCAAGATTCATATACAATTTTGGGAATTCCTTTAAATTATAGGTAGAGGACGAGGATAACAATTATTCACTGCCTTCCTCCAAAAGAAAATATGCGTTCTGTGATCCGAGTATCAAATTTAAAAAATAAATTATTAATTTTTTACATTAGATCTTTTCTACTTTATTTTATTTTTATTTAAAATTAATTTATTCTTTAAAATACATATTTCAATATTTTTAATCTTAAAATATAATTTAAATAAATTTATAATATAACATATTAATATACATAAAATTAATATTTATAAAATATTAATTAAAATAAACTGTGATATAAAATACACTTTTTAAATGATTTTAGGTTTATACATTTAGGTAAAAAAATATCTTTTTTATTTATATTTTAAATCATTTTTTAATAATTAATATTTTTTATTAATAATTTTGTTCAAAAAAATATTAATATATATTCACAAATATTATGGTATAATTTGTCAACGTGTTAATAATTAAAATATTTGTAGCCATCTCTATAGATATCTTGAGATAAATTATTAGAAAATGTTATAAATATTTTATTATTTATATAAAATATGTACATTTTATCCTTATAATTTATTTCCATTTTAATTTTATTCACTATTTTTAAAAGTTTGGTAAAATATAGTAAAACAATAAATGAAAAGATATATTTTATATACAAATATTTCATTTTCAATAATCTACTAGTTGATTTCAATTTTAAAACAATTTCTTAGATTTATTTTGATACCATAAAGTAAAATGTTTATTATTAACATTTAGCGACTTATGGTTCTTCCCACCGGTAAGTTTAAATTTAAATAAAATCTTACAAATAAAAGATAAAGGATATTTAATTTGTTAAAAACAAGAAATAAAATATATAGTTTTTAAAATTTAATAAAAAAAATTGAAAAAAAGTTTTAGTATTAAAATTAACATATATAAAAATTAATATTTTGCCAGAGAAATTGAAAATATAAAATGTTAAAACTGCAATTTAAAATATATATCAAAATAAAAAAAGTTAACAAAAAAAAAAAACTATAAGATGATGAATTTTTAGTAATTATTTTATTGATATAGCTTAATTTAATGTTTCAACTAAGTATAATATATTTGATTATATGACATGTCGAGATGTTTTTACAAACATTCGTGGTTAAGTTATAAGATAAATTTTGACTATTTTGGATGCAAGTATATACCTGAACCCCAAATTTTAGTATTTGAATTAAATATTAATTGAATAGGTGAACAATTTATTTAATTGAAGTTTCAAAGAGATTAAAAAAAAGAACAATTTTGATATTCTTTATCTTTTAGAGCATGATATAATACTTCAACTAAATAAAGTTTAACAATGCTAGTTTTTATTCATCTTTATAACATAGGAAAGTGTTCAAACAAATATTTATAATTATTATTAAGTTTTGTGTTGTAGTTATTATTTAATATATAGTAGATAATCATTAAGATAACATTAAATCTTTTGTAAGGGATTTTTATGAATCCTAAACTGATCGATAAGATTATTAAAATCATTGTATTTCATTTTCTTAAAGTTGTTTTAAAACATTATTAATTGGTGTCAAATGTTATAAGTTTCTTATGAGATTAATATCTTCAACATCCTGACATATGAGACAAAGTATAAATCTTAATGAGAAGTGAGCTTAACCTTTTGAATGTTAAAATATAATGAAATGTTAATAAAATTTTCTCAAAACACATAATTAAGTTAGAGATATGTCCAGGAAAGTGTTTATCTCTATGTACATAAGACGTGAAGTTAAGGCAAAAAGATTCAAAATTAAAAATGTTTAAGATAAAAGATGAAGTTAAACATGCTTGAAATGATATTATCTTCGTACAGTTGAAATAAAAACATTAGCATTGTTTACCGGGACAAAAATGAGAATGTATATATTTATTAAACATTGAGTTCGAGACTTACTCTTATACCAAAAGAATTTAACATTTTTTTTAAGTCAAGATTCACAATACATATATATACTATTTATTTAAGAAGAGAAGTCTCACATAAAATAAATTATATGTTGGTGTTTACCTTTTTTTATAAAAGGAGTTCAGTGTCTATATTATAAATTATCTCAAATATTTTTTTTCTACTTTCTACAAGTGTATTGTATAATAGTTGAGTTTTCTTATTTTTTAGAAAAAATATTATTATTATTTTCTCCTAAGATTTAAAGAGGATATTGTAATATCTTCTTATAGTAAAATTATATTATTGTTGATTTTGTTTTTCTTTTCTAATCTTTTATTTTAGCTATGAGTTATTATATAGTTACTCCGATTCCTAATCGTCGTTGGTTTCTTATTTGTGATATTATTCCGTTGCAATAGTCATTATAATAATATTGGAACAAATTCTTAGTATGTTTTGTAGTTGCTGTTAATATGATATTCCACATCAGACAAAAGTTATTCTAGTTACTAGATATAAAGTATGGTAGTGTGACATTATATGTCTAGGAAAAATTATGGCAAGGAAAGACTTGGTATAAGAATGTTCATTAGTGATCTGTCTCTCTTTCCTAGAAGTTTACCTGATTTACAAGCTACATCGTTGTTCCAGTACGCAATATTATTGTGCATAAGTCGGTTAAAACCATGACAACAAAATATGAGATAGAGAAGTTCAATGAGAATAGTATTTTATTGTGAAAACTGCAGATGAATGTAATTTTGAGAAAAGACAATTGTGTATAAGCAATTGAAAAAATAAACAATAACGCTATAGCAAATCTGTAGAGAAGGATACAATGAAGAAGACTTAGGAGTCACTCGTCAAATTGTACGAGATTAAGTCACTTCACACAAGAATAATCTTGAAGAGAAAACTATATCCTCTTCGAATTAATGAGTCCACATCGGTAACAAATCATATTAACAATCTTAATACGTTGTTTACCCAACTTTCAACAACAAATTTCAACATAGTTGAAAATGAATGTGTAGAACTTCTACTTCAGAGCTTACCAAATTCGTATGATCAACTCGTCATCAATATAACAAATAATAATATTGATGGACATTTACACTTTAAGGATTTTGTTGGAGTTATTCTTGAAGAAGAAT